TAACTGGATTGTCAGTGATACTTGTAGGTTTACATAATTGTTCCCCTAATTTATCTTCGTCAGTTGTACAATGATTTTTACATACTGACATATCTGCGCCAGTATCTAACAATGTTTTATCTGTGATATTTAGTATACCATAATTGGATATTGATTCTTCATTATCTCATTATTTATCCTCGCATAGCCTATTCTGTAGTTTCTCTGTTGGTTGTGGTCGTTTTCCTGTCCTCTGTTTATGACACTTATCCTATTGTTTCTTGTATATGTTTCTCTATTATTTTGTTGTCTATAGTTATTTGACCGTTGTTGTTCAAATTGTTGGTGGTTGTAGTTTTGAAGTTGATTAGTTCTAAATGAACTAGTTTGCTGATTACCTCCATTCCTTTGATTCCTGTTTTGATTACTTCTATAATTGTTCCTATTCTGGTTAAATCGTTGATTATTTTACCATCTTGTGTTTTGATTATTCTGTGCACGATAGTACATCACAGTGTGTTGTTGTGAATTATCCATACTTGATGCTATTAAAATTGCATCAATTAACTTTGTTGGTTGAGCTGTTATTACTACGGATCTAAATGGTTCCGATAAGACATTTTTAAAAGTATTGAGTCCAGTTTCATCATTTATGGACAAAATGAGCGCTCTATTCTGTTTCCTCGTTCAGTTATTTGAATGTCATTTAGAGTTGATATTAGGCATTCTATTATGGAAGCATATGAGTTCATATTACCTTGGTATAATCTTGAAAGTTCTCCTTGAATATGTGCTGTATATTTCATTGGTTTATATGCGTTATTAAATACTTGTTTCAACGCTATGAATGTAGATGGATTCTCAACTATCAATATTCTGTTTTCAACTTTTTCAGTTATCCTTGTCGCTAGGACAAATTTAACCAGAGATTCTCTGTCGGTTCGAAAAAGAGAAAAAGAAAACACACACGTCGTTTCTTAATGCGAGTTTGATCAAGACTGACGTTTTTTATTGTATTAATTTGCATTTGTGCAACAGGGTTGCCAATGATACAAAAGTTTCATTATTTATGGTAATTATTTATTTTATGTCACTAAAAGTGTATTGTTACCCAATACACTGATAAAATTCTACCATGCCAAGAAAAGTAGATATCGATTGTTGTTCACCATTGAATTGGGGTATTATTTTTGAAGCTGTCAAAATATCAAAACTGGCCATGTCTATTTTTTGTTTAAGATATCTTTCTATATTTTTCTTCAAGTTATTAAATGCTTGTTTATAAGCTTCGAATTCAGAATTTTTTATTAGAGGTAAATATTTCAACCAAATGTTTTCTAACTCTTCTCTTGTTTTTTCTATTAATAAAAAACAACCTATTCGGGTTTTCCTTAAGTTTTTCTTTTAGTTTAGCTTATACACGTCACTAACTTAACCTATTATAGAGACATTCTAAGTGACGAAAAGCAATTTTTCGAAAGCAGAATTTATCGTATAGAAATGGAAATAGAACTAGTAGAAACTCTACTTAGTCAACTCGAGAATAAAAGACTCAAAAGAGGAATAAATGAATTAGGTACCGTCTGGAAATGGATAACGGGAACTCCCGACCATGACGACTTTGTACAAATAACAACTAAAATAAATGACCTAATCATAAACAATAATAAACAAATTTCTATAATCGATCTGCTGGACGTCTCTACTTTCAAAATTGTACAAAAAAATTCATTAATAATAATATATATCAAATATCCCTCTGATAATTGATAGATGAGTTCTTTTCGAAACAAAGCCTATATTCCAGTTTGATGGAAAATTAATTATCCCAAATGAAATAATTAAATGTCAAAATATTTATTATAATATTGACAATTGTAAAGTAGAATTAAGATATATATATTGTAAAATAAGTAATGAAAATAATTGTCTTTCTGATATTTTAAATAGAAGACACACAAATTGTAAAAAATCTAAAGAAAAAAATAAAAATGTAGATATAATAAAAGAAGGGGCAATACTTCTTACCGGAAATCACTCTGTTAATAATAATAATATTTCCGGAACTTATTTAATAACTTTTAATGAAACAATAAACATAGATAATGAAATCTATGAAAACACAGAAAATAAAATTAATTTGTACATTTTAAACCACTATTTTAATGATTTTAATGTCACTGCATACATTGATTCAAGTGAAAAAGAAATTAAATTAGATAACAGAGATTTTATTAATATATTAAAAAATTATTATAATGAAAGCCCTATTTCTTTATCTACATTATCAATTGTAATAATATTACTTATTATATATATTAGCTATAAATGCTATAAACATTTTAAATTCGAACCGAGGACGACAACCATTAATAAGGATCAATACATTGTATTCAATGCCTTAGATCAACAAATTTCTAATTTCATGAATCGGGACGATTCACCTTAGTCAGGGGGCAGTTAACACACTGCATCACTATAACAACACTTTGCCGTTCTACACAATTTTCGTATCTGAAGTATGCGCATCAATGTATTGCGCATTAAGATATCTCACAACGCCTACGCGCGTTTTTATATTCAATTTCAGTCAGGCTTACTGCCTGCACTTCTTACGGCAACAATGTTGCGAAAGAAAACAAATTTGTTTTCTTTCAAGACGCAACTATGCTGTGCAAAACATATCAAGTATCATTTGAAATACTTGATCGATGAGATGTCCAAATAGCATTGGATATGAATCTTGTCATCTGGCTACTGACCCCAAAGCTAAAAACGCTGACGAAGCTCCAATCCTATAGGATGGAGATAAGAAGCTTCTCGAACATTCTAAGGAATTTTAAAAGAGTCGTTAGCAAAGGTTGAGCATAAACGGTTTATTTAAAAGAGCCGTTAGGAAAAGTCGAATAAGTCGAAGATACAAATTAAAACAAATTAAAAATAAAATGTACAACTAAAAAATATAATAAAATTACAATAATATATAAATGAATAAAATATAATTTCTTAAAATAGTAAGAAAAGAATCCGTTTATTAATTTGCACGTGTTAAAGTAATTATTTTTATTTATTTCAATTTTAGATTATAATCTTTATATATGCAATACAGGAGTAGAACCTACTTTTATTATTGCAGGCAGAAAAGAAGTTTTAGATATTACGGTAACTATTGAAAACACAGATCTTGAGATTAAGGATTGGAGAGTTCTTGATGAACACTCATTCTCTGACCATCGTTATATTCAATTCTATATAAATCTATAATGTCCAGTTGAGAAACCTTATCGGAATTACCTTAATACCAACTGGAGTAGATATCGAACCAATTTACTAAATCTACTTCCTCTATATCCTATTGAAGAAGTAGAGCCTCCTCAATCGCTAGATAACGTTGTGGAAACCTTCACAAAAGCTTGCAACATAGCCTTGGACCGTTCTTGCCCGCTGAAATCACAGAGGGGAAAGAAAAAGCCATTGTGGTGGTCCGAGGAAATAAGAGATCTTAGGAAATCAAGCAGAAACTTGTTTAACAAGGCCAAGAGAAGTAATCTTAACACTGACTGGGACATCTACAAAGTCAGTCTAAAAATGTATAAAAATGAAATAAAAAGAGCCAAAACAAGCTCCTGGAAAGCCTTCTGTAAAAGCGTGGAGGGTTGTCAAGGAACAGCAAGGTTTAGGCGCATTCTCTCGAAGAAACCCTCTAATCTAGTCTACTTAAAAGACGAGGTCAATGGGTGGACACATAGCAGCAAAGAATCAGTGGCATTGTTAATGAATATACATTTTCCAGATAGCGACATACCAAATAACTCTGGAATAAACCAGGGTTCTACATGTGACTCATCTGTGGTGAATAATATTGACACCAGAAGGAAAATTAAATGGGCTATAGATAGCTTTCTACCATACAAATCACCAGGCCTGGATGGAATTATACCAGCCCTACTTCATGAAGCGAAGGACATCTCTTGCAACTGGCTCACACCAATCTTTAAAGGTTGTCTTTCCTTAAGGCATATACCAGAGAAATGGAATTTGACAAAGGTCGTTTTCATTCCTAAAGCTGGCAAAAGCTCCCATATTACACCTAAAGATTTTAGACCGATTAGTCTATCCTCTTTCCTCTTAAAAACTTTAGAAAGGCTTTTGGAGCATTTTGTTAGGAAAGAGATACCAGATGAAAGGCTTTCAAAATCACAACATGTGTACTGTAAAGGAAGGTCTGTAGAGACCGCATTATCATCTCTAACTGGGATGATTAAAAACTCAATACAGCATAAAGAATACGCTCTTTGCGCTTTTCTAGTTGTGGAAGGGGCTTTCAACAACATTCTTCCTCAAGTAATCGTCAACTCATTAAGAAAACTAGGAATTGACAATAGAGTAATCGAAGTCATCACCCAACTGTTGGTTGATAGGACAATCGTAGCGCAGTAGGGGGAACGCTAGTAACTAAGAATGTTATTAGTGGGACTCCACAAGGAGGAGTACTTTCCCCCCTCTTATGGTTAACTGCAGTTAATGATCTTCTTGTTGATCTAGATAGCGCAGGTTGTCAGGTGGTCGCGTACGCAGATGATCTTTCCTTGATTGCAAGGGGAAAATTTCTGAGTACAATTAGTGTGGTAATGCAGGGTAATCTAAATAAAGCATCCAAATGGGCCCTTTACAGCGGATTATCAATAAATCCAACCAAAACAGAACTAGTGCTTTTTTCTAGGAAATATAAAATTCCGGAATTCACACTACCTATCCTAGGAGGTCAAACTCTGACTTTGAATGATAAAGCCAAATATTTAGGTCTTATAATTGATAGAAAACTGAATTGGGGACCTAATGTTGTTGCACGTACCCAAAAAGCTATGGTTGCCTTTTACTGTTGTAGAGGCGCTATAGGCAAAAGAGGGGACTCTCACCGAAAGCCATTTTATTGATATATAATGTGGTGGTAAAACCAATTCTTTTGTATGGAGTGTTATTTTGGAGAAACACTATGCAAGAAATTGGAAAAGGTTCAAATGACTGCACTGATGACATTAAGCGGAGCGTTAAAATCAACGCCGTCACTTGCCCTGAATGTTATTTTCAATATCTTACCTATCGACATCGCGGAGAAAGGCGAGGTAGCTGGGGCAGCTTTACGGATAAGAGAACAAGGAATTGTTAGCAGTTGTGGAGGGATGCAAGATTCCATCCTCAGAGAAATTGATTTCATTCCGGATATAACAGACTACTGTACTACAATTACAATTGTGGACAGAAATCTTGAATTATTAATTCCTTCTTGGGAGACATGGAAAAACTACTCTGTAAAGAGTGATAATCGCCTTAACTTCTTTACAGACGGCTCAAAGTTAGATGGACAAGTAGAAGGAGGAGTATACTGCCCTGAACTAGATCTCAGTATGTGTTTCAGGCTACCAGATCACTGCAGCGTTTTTCAAGCTGAAGTATCTGCTATATTGGAAGTTTCAGATTGGCTGGAACACAATGTTTCCTCCGTTAAATTTATAAACATATTTACTGACAGCCAGGCAGCTATAAAATCCTTAAACTCGTCGACCTTCAACTCGAGGTTAGTACTGAATTGTCTTACATCACTTATGGTGATGGCTGAATATTTTCGGATACGAATTATTTGGGTCCCTGGACATAGGGACATCCAAGGCAACTGTATAGCAGATGAATTAGCAAGACATGGTACGACAGCACAAATTCTTCTGGAAAAAGAAAGTGTGTGTATACCAGTTGCTTCTTGTCGGCACCGAATAAAATTATAGACATACCAAATGTTTGAAAGAAGATGGTCAACAGTAACCAACTGCATAAAAACCAAAGAATTTTGGCCAAAAATAAGTAAGAAAAGATCGGGGGAATTAATCAACCTATCCCGAGCAAATTTGTCCAGGATAGTGGGAATTATTACGGGACACTGCCCGTTGGGAGGACGTGCCGTGAGGCTCAACATCAGGACCTCCTTACATTGTAGGCATTGCATGGAGAATGGTGAAGAGGAATCACCAACATACCTTCTGCTACAGTGTCCTGCCTTCGCAAGACATAGACTATCCTACTTAGGGTTGCACTTTTTCTATTCACTAAGAGAGCTAGATTCTATTTCCATAGCTCGTGTCAATGGCGTTGTAGCCAATATCAAGTTGTTATAGGGACAGGTGTCAAATTCTTTAGGGTATCACAATGGACCTCATGGTCTAAGTCAGTCTTCGGACGGCCCCAGTAACCTAACCTAACCCTAACCTAAAGTAATTAGGAGTTTCTTTTGAATAATCAGCGCAAGGCATTACCATTCAGCGCTGAAGCAATCGAAAGTCCCGCTGGGTACTTGTGCATTGCATGCACACAAAGTCAATCATATATTTTAGGAAAAACATAAAACACAAAGGCTATCCATTAATTTCAGAAATATTGCTTCACCTACTCTTGCGTACAAAATAATATACCCAGCCAGCATTTCGACAATTCATATATCGCCAATCGTCAAAATGCGTCGCTTATGACTCGTCTTGACGATGGTTAATCGATTGTTCTCTCAAAATTATTAATTTGCTCATTTTATTTTTTCTGAAATATAATATTTACGTATGTCGCTTTTGTTTCTCTATTCTTGAAATGCAATTATTACACGCCTCAACGATTGTTTGGCGAATGTGTTTTTAAGTTACTCCCTTATTACGCACTTGGACGATCGTTAAGCCATTGTTGTCTCAAAATTGTTAATTTGCTCTTTTTGTTTTTTCTGTAACATAATATTTACATATGTCGCTTTTGTTTCGCTTTTGTTAATATTAAAATGCAATTGGAATGTTATAGTTGTGTGTGAAATTTAAATAAATAAATATTAATAAAATAAATTTAATAAATAAATTTTAATAAATATAAGTTAACAATTGTCCGGCTTACAATTGTTATTTAGTTAATTTTTTGCCTTCTTTGTTCAAAAATTAAAAAACCGAGTTTGAGGTTCGCTCATTATGTAGCGCATTAAAAAATTGATTTTGTATTTATTGATTTGAAGTACGGCACGTACTTCTTGCCTTGTGTACCATCAAAGTTGTAATTTATGAGTATGCTTTCTCCAAAATTCCACGAAATCTTTCGCGTAATTGGTTGTTTGTCCATTGATGCGTCTTATTAATGCAGCCTATAAAAAACGTAATAGATAAAAAGAAATGTATGAGTTACTAAAATTGTTTCATGTGAAAATATTAATAAGTTGAAATTGAAAGTACGAAACATGTATAATTTAACTTACAACTACTTCAACGGCAGTGATTTCTTCGTTAAACTGAATTAAATCCTCTTCAGATTGAATTGGAAACTGTTCCAATTGAAGCAGTTGACTGCATTTTACCCTTGCTTTAGAATGACTGCATTCGCAGCACATTGGTCAATTAATCGTTCTTGACGCAGTAGCATGTTATGAACTTAAACAAGCTGTTGATGTTTTGTTGGCTTGACTCGAACTGAATTTAAAGAATCAAGCAAAAGCTAACCAAACCAAATCAATTATGCTGAGATTTGCATTCTTAAGATAAGTGCGGTTATGTTTATCTAATGTACGTTGATTCCTATAGGGGGAACCATAAGCGCAACATTGTTCATAAAGAAAACAAAGAATACTGTATGTAGGTTGACTACAGTGATCATAGCTGAATCAGCTTGAATGCATTTGAAATAGTGTAAACAGGAAGCGTTACTTTGTGTGTAGGATAAATTCCTAAACAAAAGTGTGATATTGTGCCTTGTCTTTTATTTGTCTTGATACAAAGTAAGACAAAACTTAATTTGACAAATATGCGGAATAAAACCACATAACACCTCCAACAGAGAGGCAATGACTCCCCCATTAGGTGAAGGAAAACCAACCCAACAGTTCTATGAATCTAGCTAGGTCCTTCACATTGTAGGATGACAGCTCAGTCAGATCGGTCAGAAAAGGGGCCCCCAAGATTTTTGATCTTCTTCTGCCTAAAGATGGGCACTGACACATGAGATGGAACACAGTTTCCTCCTCGTCCTCAGAGCTACAACCGCGACAAAGGTGATTATAAAGAAGACCCAGTCTCATAGCATGCCTCCCTATTAAGCAATGACCAGTCAGCACCGATACCGTAGTACTGAGCAGATCTCTCTTTAGTTGGAGCAGATGACCCGTACGCTTTTTATCCAAGTTAGACCAAATCGACCTAGAAATGTGACAACTGGGATCCGTTCTTAAAGAAAGGCAATGAAATAGTAATTGACTTTACTGCCAGAAGCAAATTACATTACAACAAACAGGCATGGCCAACCACAACCTTGATTTCAATTAATCCAAATCAATAACTTTATTAAAATATATATATAACAATATTTAAATTTTCATACAGGTTTTGTTTAACATAAACAATAAATTTTTTTTTTATATAATTAACTTAACTAATTTCTTTCTTACAGTATGTGCTTATCGGATTCAAATTCATTTTATATTTAAAATGTTTTATAATAAATTTACAAAATATTAAGTATATTTATTTATATATTTACCATTCATAATTGTACTTATTTATCAGATTTTTTAGTAGTATATACAACGATATTATTCCTCAAGGGATTTGGCGACTCCTTTTTTACATTAAAACATTTATTAAATAAATTTATACATAAATTTCCTTTTATACATTTTACAATAATTGTTATCATAATTATGGTTATACATAATGACATTAATCCGTACCAATATGAGTTGGAATTCAATTTAATAGAATTTAGAGACTTTGATATAAAACGTTTCTGATTATTTGTTTTAATACTTAAATCATCAATATTTTTAATATTACTAGGTTTTAGTTTAGATAAAAATTCAATTTCTTCTATTTCATTAATCTTTATGTTTAAACAGCAATCATCAGAATAACCAAAATATAGGTCGTTAAATTCAGTTTCATTTTTGTTATCAGATATTATAATTTTATAATCTACAGTTTCGAACTTACAATTAAAATCAAAATACAATATACCAACTCCATTCAAATATCCTTTTTCTTTAATTTTATTTTGTTTACATTCATATTCATATTTTATTTCATTGGTTACGGCGTACATATATTTATTATCATTTATTTTCATGTATGTCTCTACATTATATGGTATGAATTTAATTTGACAACGTTTATTGTTTCGTTTCATAAAGTTATTTAAAACACTATTTTCTACAGTAATAGTTGATTCAGATATTAATTCATTAGCTAACAGATAGCTATTATCAACTACTTCGAAATCATTTAAATGATCAAACATGGCAAAATATTCCATGTTCCTAGATATTAAAAAATAATTATTTCCCTTTTCTAATATTACTTATTTATTCATTACTATTAATAGCAATGATAATGATATATGTACATATGTACATAGGTACATATATATTTGCGTATTGTTTTTGGTAGGAGGACAAGAAATTCTGAAGTTGTGTTACTTGCTGAGATTTTAATACAACTAATTTTGATTTTGTTTCGCGGAGTAATATTGTGTGCGGTTCAATTTTAGATTTTAATTAATACTTAATCACTTATTCATAAGAGTAGTTTCTTTTTAAGTTTTAATTTTTAACATTTTTCGATTTTTGTTATTTCTTGATTCTTCTTCTTCTTGAGTTAGTGCTATTACGCACTTTTACTCTATAATGGTTGGGGGCTTATCTTACCCCACACTAGGCTTTAACTAGGCTAAAAAAAAAATCATATCATTTATTTGTCTTTAAGTTGATGACGGACCTTAATGCTGATTTAAGGCATTTATCTTCCTGAGAGTCCAGAAGTGGACTTGAGGATTGTTAGGGCGGGGTTAATTAGCGTATCAACTTTAGTGAATAATTTTAGAGCTCTGTCTCTGATACATTTTTTCACTGCGTCAATCCTAAGATCTTTATGTATGTCTGTTGATCTTATATACCATAGAATCTTAAACAGTTTTCTTAAAGCCAGGTTTTGAGCTATCTGTAATTACTTTAAGGTAGTGTTTGAGGCTTTGCTATATGTAACACATCCGTACAGTAGTGCAGGTCTAATTACTTGCGTATAAAGTAACTTTCTGTTTTTAAAGTTAAAGTGATAATTATTAAATAGCGGCTTTAATGAATGTAGAATCTTAGAGCAGCTATTCCGTTTGTATTTCAAATGTTTAAGCCAATTGAACCATTTGTCAAAAGTGACCCCCAGATATTTTATGTTATCCTCCCACTGTATCTCCGTGTCGCAAACGCTCACTCTTGGAGGATGCTGTCTTCTTTTTCGAGTTATAAATGTAGCTCGAAAAAAATAGTTTTGTCATTATTAATTTTAATCTTCCACTTTTGGAAGTATTCCTCCATAACGTCTATATTTCCCTGTAAAGTGTTGCTTACATTTATGGCATCCCGATCCGAGTACATCAAGCACGTGTCGTCTGCGTGCTTGATGTACTGCTACATCACCTGCTACTACACGTGCTACTATTGATCGGGCGGTCGAAAGAGTGCTGTTAATTTTAGTATGGAAGGACCTTTCTTGCAGGAAACTACCAATGATTTTAGTCAAACCACTAGGGTTCCCAAAACGGGCCAATTTGACTATTAGATCATCATGCCAAAATATAAACTTATTGTTAGAAATGTCACACTGAAAATAATGATATATAAAAATATTAAAGGTTGCCTATCTGCTGGACTAAATGTGAGAGGATTAGTTTGTGATCAAAGCCCAACAAACCAAGCCCTTTATAGAAAACTCGATATTTCTAA